AAAAAAGCCGGCCGGCCGGGTCTATTTAAAAGTTTCATGTTATGAAAACCAAGTAATTAAATTTGTATGGCCTTATAATAATAGTATTAAAAATTTTAAAAAATTTTATAATATTATTAATATATTATATAGATATAATATTAATATTTTGCAAAATTGAAAGATTCTGTAAAGTAGATATTAAATATTACTGTTCTTATCTTATTAATATTGTACAATTTTAGGAAAAGATGGTTATCTTCACGGAAGAGGTAATTTTTAATTCTTATTTGAGTTTGCTTACTAATTAGTGATTATATTCTTATATATAATGTCTATACAAATGATAGGAGTAACTGATAATAAAGGACCAATGCTAGCAGCAATATTTGCGGCCAGTGAATTACAACAAGAAAAAGGATTAAAAATAAATGTATCTTTTTTAATCGAAGGTGAAGAAGAAAGTGGTAGTGAGGGGTTTTACAGTGTTGTTAATAATTCAAAGGTTTGGTTCAATTTATTATATTCATTGGTTTAATGGCAAATATAGATGATTCATACTAGGTCATTAACTAAAAAAATATATGCTGATTTTTATAGGAATTGATTGGAGAAGCAGATGTTATTTTCATCAGGTTTATTATTCAATTTAAAAATGTGCTTTTTATTTATAATTATAAAACACAAGCATTTACATCATGTTTTTAATTTAGCAATTCTTACTGGTATTGTGATCATATACCATGCTTAAATTATGGCCTTCGAGGAGTTATTCGCGCTACAATTGAGGTTCAATTAAAACATTAGATTTAAACATTTATTTTTATTTATTGAATGTATATATATTTATATATCCTTTTTATTCATTTTTTCTTAAACCATAAAAAGATCACAAGTTCAAAAAATGACGTACATTCAGGTATGGAAGGTGGCGCTGTTTCGGAACCACTGAACGATATGATTCGGGTATTGGCAAAATTGGTTTCTAACGATAATCATATTCTAATACCTGGTATGTTTTAAAAAGAACATTATTCATTATTTTTGGAGAATTGGATTGGTACTAAATCATGATTATTATTATTACTTAAATAGGCTTTTATGATAAGGTCAGATCGGTTACAGAACGTGAGGAAAAGTTGTATGAACCTATCGTTGAATTATGCGCCAGGTTTTTTTTTAATAATATCTTTCATTGTTATTAGTTTCGATTTTTAATTTTCTTACTCTATCTTTTTTTTGTCTTTTAAATTAAAGTCAAGCTCAAAACAAAAATCCCAAAGATCTTAAAAATTTATTAATGTCTAGGTGGCGCCATCCAACATTAACAATTCACAAAATAGAAGTTAGCGGACCAAACAATGCAACAGTAATTCCAAGGTCTGCTAAAGCAACTGTTAGTATGAGAATTGTACCAGATCAAGATTTAGAAGAGATTGTTTCAAGTTTTAAGCAGTATGTTGAGTTGGTATTTGAAGAATTGAAGACGGACAATGCTATTAATGTAGGTTATTTAAAGAATATATTGTCTGATTTGGGGAATAAAGACAATGGTTAATCTGGTTTTGTTATGGTGATGATTATGTTTATAAATAGATTACGATAAATAGTCTAGCAGATTGGTGGTTAGGAGATCCTGAAAATCGATTTTTTAAAGCTACTGAAGAAGCCGTTAAGCAGGTTGGTGTTATTTTCTTGGCTTTGTGTATAATACAGACAAGTAAACCATTGCAGTATACTGTCAAAAAAAAATTTTTTTTATATACTTGTTTAATTAATTTGACCAATTCTATTACAGGAATGGGGAATAAATCCACTATACATAAGGGAAGGTGGGTCGATTCCAGCTGTAAGATGGTTAGAAAAGAAATTTAACGCGGTTGCCGTTAATTTGCCTATGGGTCAAGTAAGTTTTAAAATTATATGATGTCGGGCATTTCTTATTTTGGAAAGTTTTAATTTATTTTTATTTTCATTTTCTGAAGGCATCGGATCAAGCACACTTAGTAAACGAAAGAATTAGGTTACAAAATTTATACAATGGTAAAAACATCTTCAAAAATTTGTTTAAAAAATTGAGTGAAAATACGATAGCTGTTTGAGCTTGATATATTGTTTAAAAAATAGTGAAAATATGGTAGCTGTTTGAGCTTGATATAGAGTTGTATAATATCTATAGAAAACATGATGCGTAGAAAATGAACAATCTAATTTATTATTTCTAACTATTTAAATTTTTTACATTTTTTTTTTATTATACATTATTATACGTGTAATAAAATGGCTATATATATTTGAATATAGCATGCATATTCGTTTTATAATCTGCGTACCTAAACTGAATTTTTAGAAAAAACGCCAGTTAAGTGTTCTACTTACTAATACACTAAATTTCCAAAATTTTGCCTGCCGAAATAAGAGATAATACCCACTAAATACAACCTTTCTCGCATTCGAGAATGACTAATAACCCTCGTCACGTTTAATATTCGGTTATTTATATGCTTTCAAAAGTAATAAAGTGACGCGCATTCATTATCTATTCTTCCGTAAATGAAAGACCGAGAAAAGATTTACTTAAACATTCTTTCCATTTGCAAATGGCGCAATATCCCACCGCCTATAGTTTACATACAGATGTGCTCGTAAATATATAATTATACACTTTAAATTTAAATAATATTTAACTTACCAGCGATTCTTCAATTATATCAACTCCATTTTTTTTTGGAACTTTAATGTGCATTTTTCCGTCGATAAATATTGAAAAAATCTTATTGACGTTAAAATCTGTGGATAGCCTTATTGGGTGACAAAATGATTGATATCTACGTCCATGCCTGAATGTAGCAGTCGATGGATTAGGGGAGGCGGTTTCAGAGCTCGAATCTAAGTCCTCTGTTGGTTTGCTAGATCCAAAAATTGCTAAAGTGTTATTGCAAACTTGAAAATCAATATCAAAACCCTAAAATGTTAATTTACAAGATAATGTAAGCATAATTATAAATTTATATAATTTATACAAAATAATAATACAGTCAGACTTCCTAAGTGCAATGTCCCAGGCACTTAGGGAGATATTGCAAAGGGAGGTTAAAAATCTATAAGAGCGCTATTAACTTTATCTGCACTTAGGGAGATCTGACTGTAATTAATAATAACAGACCTCCAAATCGATCTCAACATCAATTTCTTGATCATTCTCGTTCACAATAATTCCGTTAGAACAAGAAGAAGCATGTTCATCAATAACAAATTCTGAATGGTCGTCATGGTCCACCATTTCCATACACATCTGCTTCTCATTGTTTCCCGACAAATTCTTTAGTGAATCCCCGTCCACTGCAAATTCTGTGTGGCTAGGACATAATTCATCTTTATTCTTATATAGGCCCCATTGGCTAAGTGCATCTTTATAAGAAACAAATTCTAACTCAAGTGAGGCTAATGATTCAATGGGAGATTTATCAACGCCAATTGTTTGTAAAGTGGTCATTTTAAAGGCTGAATTGCTAGGGTAGAAAAAAATGTGGATTTCAGAGAAATTATGCTGAGAATAACGGAAAATAATTGTTATATTTTATTTTGCTTATTGTTGGAGGGTGAATCCCCTTTTATATATTTATCAAGTAAATTGAAGTTTATTTCACGCCGAGTATCACGCATCGTAATGACGTAAGAGTAAGCAAGTTAGCGTTAGTTAAATCGTTTGTTGAGTCCGTAGTTAATCTCGGAATTCGTTAGAATTCGTAAAGTCTTAAGGAAACTACCGAATATTTTATTCTAAATTAAGCTAATCTAAATAAGACAATGAGATTTTGTTACCGTCTTTAATCATGTCGCACGAATTATTTCACATGATTCAAATATAAAGTGTTGATAAGATATAAAAAGTTAATACATATATAAATAAAGGTCGTAAAAAATATTTAATTATGTTCCACGGCCCTATGTTTGTCCGTAAATACTTCCGCGTGATATTTCACGATGACTTAATGTTCCGCCATCGGAATGTTACGGCATAGCTGCGGTGTACCACGACATATATACTATAGCTTCGCCACAGAAATTTCTATTATCTAAACTTTTAACGATAATGAACTTATGTATTGCTCGATTAGATAACGATATTATCATTAAATATTTGAATTAGAGGATACACGGCTTTTTTTTTACTTTTGATTTCTACCTAGCTTCTAATATTTAGTATATACCAATTAAACCCAAAGCATATAAGGTAGATATGCCTAATTTGGCGCGGTGCCTAATTTGGCGCACTAACGATATCTTATGAACTGTCGATTAGAATCATGTGATTTTGGTACCATTCGATTCGTCTCATCGTGAAGAATCGAATTGTACCAAAATCATATGATTCTGATCAATAGTTCGCAAGATATTATCATTTAACCAAAATAGCCTACATATAAGATAGATATGCCTAATTGGTACAGTGCCTAATTCGGCGCAGAATCATGTGATTTTGGTACCATTCATCGAGACGAATCGAATGTTACCAAAATCATACGATTTCAACTAATAGTTCACAAAATATTACATTAGAAATCTTTAATGCGGCGAATTAGGCACTGTGCTAAAATAAGACTGTTTTTAGATAAACTTTTAAAAAGTGATGATTTTGGCGTACCAAAATCATCTAATTCTGATCGACATGGCATCGTAGAACTTAACCGCGCCGAATTAGGTATATCTACCTTATGATCCGGAGTGGTTTTATATTTCACGCATGACGACGAAATTATCATACCTACAATAAATTATTCGATTAAAGAAAATTTGAATGATTTAAATATAAAAAATTTTAATAACGATAAGGATAATTAGACTATGCCTTTTTACGTTAATCATAGGTAAACGACGAATATAAACTAAAGATAGCCTACCCTGGGCTCGTGCATGTATCTAACAAAAAAATATAAGCATAGGCATCACATGAAAACTTAGGCACAAAAATTTGGCGCAGGTACGTACTAAAATTTTGGCACGGGCATTGTTAAAATTTGGTATATGTAGTCTTTTTCTACTATATTAAACATTTAAGTTTTAATTATATTTCTAAAAAAAAAAGCTAATCCTAATATAGAAAGAAATTAAATTAATTTTTTTTTTAATCAATATAATTTAACAGATTTTAGTCCTGCAAAAATTCTACGTATTATTTAAATTTTAATAACATAAAGCGTAAGTTAGTCCCATATGATTGTCCATTTTGTGTATATATAGGTAATTGTCCTCATAGGAAGACTTTCGTATGATTGGCTGTTTAAATTAAATTAATTTTACATTATTTATACAGTTTAAAGTACTTTTTTAAAAAAATAAAACTACGAAGAGTAAACAAAAAAGAAGTATATAGAAAGTTTTATTAGGGTTGTAGGACTCCACTATTAAAATGTATCTCCATCCCTTTTTTGTTTTAGAGAAGTTAGCATGGTGATAACCTAATTCTATCTTCTCTAAAACAAAAAGGGATGGAGATACTTTTTAATAGTGGAGTCCTACAACCCTAATAAAACTTTCTATATACTTCTTTTTTGTTTATTCTTTGTAGTCTTATTTTTTTTAAAACGTACTTTTAACTGTATAAATAATGTAAAATTAAATTGATTTAAACAGCCAATCATACGAAAGTCTTCCTATGATAATTGTCCGGAGCGTAGCGTAGGTGCATTAGAAGTTACGTTTTTGATTCATCAAAAGTTACGATGTTGATGCATCATAGTGATAGAATCAAGAACATAACTGAAAAGGATGTCTGTCGCACACGTGATAAAAGATACGTTTTTGATGCATGGCCATATTCGATAGGCTCTGGATATACAATGCTGTGCATCAGCCTAGTACGAGTGGCATTTTTCCACAATAATATTACGTTTAGTATATAATCTTTATTTTGTTTGTTGTCACCTTTATTTGCATTCTCTTCAATATTCTGTCATTTGCATGCACAAATCTTGCTGTTCTTCACGTGTCATTGAAGCCATCAGTTAGGCCGTTCGAAGTTAATTCTTCGGTTAACATCACCTTTAGAAACTAAAATATAAAAATGGGTCAATTTCATTGGTCGACGTAAATCAAGTAATTGGCGAGAGTTGTTCATTTTTCGGGGGAAGAATCAACTTCGAACGGCCTTACGACTTTTGCTCAGGATATAAGTTCTTTCGTGTTTTTGAATTTGTAAGACTTCAATCTAATAAATTAATTTATTTAAATTAGATTAATTGTTAAGTTTATTTATCGTCGTCTTTTTGATTTTTTTTTTTTTTCAGGAACTTAAAATATTCAGTTTACTGCTGATTAAAAAAAGTATGAATTTAATACTATTTATTAAACAAATAAAATATATAATTTTTTTAGTAAAAATATAAATCTTCAAATTTTTCGAAAAAAGTTCTACTATATGAAGTTTAATCTGTTTCGGATTTATTTAAAAAAATTTCTAGGCCAATTGCTAGTATCAAATAACACAATATCGCCACGATGGATCATATATATAATTTTTTTATAAACTAGTTTATAATAAAATATCAAGCAAATACTGTATCATTATCATTATGAAGTGCTAAACTTTTTTTTTTATATAATTCATTTAAATCTTCTATTTCAAAATCTTCAATTAGCGAGTAACTGTTCCGGTTTTTACTTAGTCAACTTTTATCCCCCATTTTGTTGATTTTTGTAAATTTAATAATTCTTATACAAACTTTCTACCATCCTTATCTTGTCTATTTGCTTCTATATCATTTTCATTCATTTCCATTTCTTGATCCGTTTTTATAAATTTAAAAAATTCATTGATAAATTTTTTATCAAAATATTTGTCATTTTCTTCAATCGTTTTCTTTAACATGTTCATAATGGTCATCATCTTCATTGTTTTCTTCATTTTCTTCACGCCATTCCTTAATTTTTTTCTATCCACATATTAAAGCCATAATTCATTTGAAAAGAAATTAGAGTATTGATTTTTTCAGGTTGATTATCGCCATAATGTTCTAATAACCTAGAAAGAGCTATACTACAAATTCCAAAAGATAATTGAGTAGTAATAGAATTAGTACAAAGTAAATATCCACATATCTACATATAATAGCTGGATTAATTACTGAAAAAAAACAAGACCTCAATTTAAATATACAAATACTATAAAATCAATTATTTCTACTGTAATAAATATTTTAAGCCATATCTTGTCTCAAATCTTAATTGTCAGAATAAAATAATTGCTGGGCACGTAGATAAACTACTAAACATCATGAATGTCAAAAGTATAGATTTATATAATATATTCACTAGTCTACATCTGCCAGGAAAGAATTGATCATAAGTATCAATGCAAAAGCTATTATGATCATAATCATAAAAATTATTTATTCTCCATATAAAAGACACCAAACTCCTATTAAGACATAACACCCGGATTAAAGACAGCATTTATGAATGCATAGTTTCATAAACAAAAATTATATTTCTTTTGCAATCCTAAATCAAGAATATAAAATACAGTAAACTAGGAGTTGAAAAATAATCAATACTTTAACAGAATAAATATACAGCAAATCCATAAGTGCGTTCTCTATAAGTGCACACCCTCTCTAAATGCACGTTCAAATTCTGGCCCAAATATTTACATGCCTTCTATAAATTTACTTTCTCTTATTGATCTCTAAGTGCACATTGTTAAAGCTTGGCCCCAAGAGCGTGCACTTATAGAGGTTTTACTGTAGTAACTATACCATTGAATTGAAATAATTGAAGAATATATAATTACGGATAGAATTATAATAGTATCATCAAATACATTTACAAAAGAGCAACCCTTTTTTTTACTTTCTTTAAAGCCTTCAAATAATGCAACTACTAATCCAGGAATTATTCCAATAATAACCGTAGTAAGTGGATCTTAAAGTGGATTTTATGGATTGTTAGATGCCATTTTATGCCCAGAAATTATGTAATTTGTATTTTTATAAAAATAATATTTTATATAATAATCTAAATGTTGCCTGTTGGTAAAATTTGCAACTAATATGATTGTTTTTAATAGAGCATGTATTCTGTATTTAAATTTACTCACTGCATCTTTGCTAAGTTTGCGTAATCGAATATATATCTAAATTTGTATATATATATACATTATTAAAAAGTACTAGGTTGCTCAAATATAGTATGTTGAATGAGAAAACTAAACTAACTGGAAATAATACATAAAGGTACATTTTTCATCTAAATGAATGAATAAAAATATATTATACATGGTTAGAATAATTCATATTAACAAAGACATTTGATTTTCATGCAAAATATAAAACTAGCCTACCAAAAAATAAAAAAAATCAACAACTTTAAAAAGTACTAATGTGGAAAGGATTAAGTCTAATATACAGGCACAAATCAGGTGTCTGCCCGATTACCGTTACTACCCGATTTATGTCAATTTTTGTTGTAAAAATCGACATCAAGTCTTCTGTTAGGAACCAGCTTAAAATCAGATACCTGATTTGTACCCGATTTGCCTCATTCGACCTGTGACTCCGGCAAAGTTTCTGCGGTCACTGATCCATGTCAGGCGCTCACGTGATTCGGCCAATATTACATAACCTATGTAATTATACCACAAAAAATTTTCCGGTCACATGACTTTATCGTGGCGCAAACCAATTGAATTTCAGG